TGACTTTGATTTTCCCCTTCCAGGGTTCCAATACTTATTTTAATTATCTCCAGTTACTTTGAGTTAAGTAATGAAATTGGCATCACCAGATCTCTACACTACTAGCTCGTTATAATAAGACGAAATAAGAAGTTGATTGACATCCAATTTTGGGGGAGAAAAAAAGAGAAGTTCGAGTGGTAAATCATGATTTTTTTCAACTTCATGACTTCATTTTTTTCTAGTTATTTCTATTTAAATCTATTTCACTACTGACACCGGTACCACCAGATATCTGTAGTACAGACTCATTATTTCACACAAAAAACAAGAATTTAAGTTTGTGAAGACTGTGCTTTCAAACATCACTGTACTTGAGCCTAGGCAACACAGTGAGACTCTGTCTCAAGAAAGAAAGGAAAGGAAGGAAGGATGAAAGGGAAGAAAGAAAGGACAGGATAGAAAGAAGAAAGAAAGAAAAAGGAAGGAAAAGAAAAATAAGAGAAAGAAAGGAAGAAAAGGAAAAGAGAAGAAAGCTAAATAGAAAAGAAGACAGAAATGGCCGGGAGTGGTGGCTCACACCTGTAATCCGAGCACTTTGGGAGACCGAGGCGGGCAGATCACGAGGTCAAGAGATAGAGACCAGCCTGGCCAACATGGTGAAACCCTGTCTCTACTAAAAATACAAAAATTAGCTGGGCGTGGTGGCGTGTACCTGTAGTCCCAGCTACTCGGGAGGCTGAGGCAGGAGAATTGCTTGAACCCGGGAGGCAGAGGTGGCAGTGAGCCGAGATTGCACCACTGCACTCCAGCCTGGCACCTGGCGACAGAGCAAGACTCTGTAACACACACACACAAAAAAGAAAAAGACAGAAAGGAAAATGAAAGAAAGTTATTTATGAGAATATTTTCTCATGTCCCTGTCTTTGATGCAGGACAGGCAAGCCCCCAGCTTGGGATTTAGCCAGGGTGGAGGGTGAGCAGGTGGTGAGACAGAGCAACTTGTATTGAACCGGTACTGCTCCTTGCAGAACAGCACTAACCCACAGGCAGTGCACCCAGAGCCAGCAGCGGATGGGCTGTTGGCAGCTGTATTTATAACCACTTTTAATTATGTGCTAATCAAAGGGCAGATTATTCAGAACTTTCTGGAAAAGGAGTCAGGAGTTTCCCAAAAATACAAGTTAACTTTCTGGCTACTGCCAAGGTGCATTGCCATGGCAGTTGTAAATTGTCTTTACACTGTGAGTGTCTTGATGCTAATGGGCAGTGAAGACAACTAGAGGTGGCTTTTATCATCATCAGCCAATTTGGCTGGCTTCTTCACTGCACCCTGGTTTTGGGGGGGGGGTTTGAGGGAGTCTCACTGTGTCATCCAGGCTGGAGTACAAGGGCCCAATCTCTGCTCACTGCAACCTACATTTCTGGGTTTCAAGTGATTCTTCTGACTCGGCCTCCCGAGTAGAGTAGCTGGGATTATAAGCCCCCGCCACTACTCCTGGGTAATTTTTTGTATTTTTTTTTCCAGTGGAGACAGGCTTTCACCGTGTTGGCCAGGCTGCTGCTCTGGAACTCTTGGCCTCAAGTGATCCTCCAACTCGGCCTCCCAAAGTGCTTGGATTATAGGTGCAAGCCACCATGCCCTGCCAACTGCATTCTGTTTTTACCAGATCCTGTTTCCATAAATGGGAGTCCTGACCTTGTGACCAAAAACCAAGTTCTGCTGGCGTCGTACCTCATCTTCTTTTCCATATTAATAGTTATATCCAATTAGCTAGTGTCCTGGGTAAAAATAGTTACCTACAGCACTAACTCATTCTATCTACAATAGATCAGACTGTAGTGCTGAAAAGAAAGGATATTGATTCAACTTCCTGGATTGATCACTTTTCTTCAGCAGAGAATTTAGAGTTGAAAAGAACATGATTGGCAACTTCCTGCCTTCAACTAGGTATTCTTGTTATTTCTGGTTATTTCTAGGTAAATAATTAGATGATACTGAGTCACAGAGATGTTACGTAACCTGCTCAAAGTCACCCACTTGGGAAAAGTCCACATCTGGGATTTGAGCCTATCCTGAGTACTATCTTGAAACACAGGATGTTTGCTATCGGTGCTATATGCTATAATTTTCATTTGTACTTAGTAGCTGTAATTATCGCTAACTAGTTTCCTGTGTTCAAGTGGTTATCTATAGGAAAACTGATTCCAACAAGAAACAAAAGTGTAGTATTGAGGACAATGATTAACTTCCTGAATTCAACCACTTTGCTTCAGCAACCTGGTTATCCTAGATATCATCATTTATCCCTTGGCTACTAATGAGGGAGGTACCACTAGATATCTATGGCACTAATTTGATATTCAAACAAGTGAAGGACATTTTGAGCTGAATGATACTTTCCTTTCTGTTTATTTCTAGTTAACTAATTACAAATGAATAATAATTATAGCAGAATAGCAAACGTTATTGATAACATCCTCTGTGTCAAAGATGGTACTGAGACGATGCGTTCAAATCTCAGCTTTGGACATTTCCCAAGTGAGTGACTTTGAGCAGGATATTTAACAACTCAGTGACTCAACAACGCCACCTGTAAAATGACAGTAATAGCACATCTATGTTTATAGGGTTATCAAGAGGATTACATGTGTTAATATAAACAAATGAATCAGACCATTGCCTAGAACACACTAAGAACCAGTAAGTGTGAGCTGTTAGTATCATCTCAATTAATTTCCACAACAGCTCCATGTGGCAGGTATTATTATTACCCCATTTCACAGATGAGAAAATTGAAGCACAGGGAGAAAAATCCACTCACCAGGTTAGCTAGCTAGCAAATGACAAGCATAGCTATGATGCAGATGCATTCGGACTTCAGAATTCCTGCCATCATAAATCTAGGATTTCAAACCCATCATTGGTGCCTATTTTTATTGGAATGAGGCTCAATTAGGACGTGGCATTTGCAAGAAATCAATCAACCCACAACCTGCATCGTCCTAAGGCACACTTCTTGAAGGGAGAACCATAGAGCTCCCAGTCAACCCGGGCTCTTTTTTATTTTACATTATCAGTAGGGAGCAAAAGTTCAGAAAGATAGTTCTAGACAAAGTAGGAAAGGCGAAGCAGAAGGATGGCAAAGAGGGTGGGTAACGGAAGCGCGTGAGGAGCAAGGGAAGGTGGGAACTAACCCAAGTCCACTCAGTCCGACTAGCACAGGGAACACACGCACTTCTGCAGAGGGCCTGCGACCTAAGGTGCAGGAGCAAAGCAGAGCTCAGCAGACATTGCACGAAGCAAGAGTCACCTGCAGTGTCTCTAAACACTGGGCAGGGTTCTACACTTGTACTCTGGCGTGGAGTACTTTGGACTTTTGCAAGGGGCGTGTTAGGCCTTGCAGCTTGCATCTGAGCATCCACAGCACTCTGCAAAACCCAGCCCCAAACGCAGGCTTCCCCAGACCCCCTGGAGAGTATGACCTGCTCAACTTTCTGGACATTGCTGAAAAAACCTAGCAGGCACCCTCCGACTTCCTCATTTCGTCTTAATTACGGTCCGATTTGTGAATTTTGGTTGCGAATGGAACATAACCAGAGTCTCGTGTGTTAGTCACCAACTACCCACAGGGGAGGGTGGTGCCAGCAGCCCACGCCACAAGGTACACGGCCTTCAGGGTGCCGCGCCTTCACCCTGGAGAAGCCTTAGGCCGGCCTGCGTGCCTGGAGGGCTGGACAGAGACGAATTCTGCAAAGCTTCTACAAGGGCTCTGGGGCCAGATTGGGTCTCGCTCCTCTGACCCTTCCCCTGCCCCAAATCTGTTGGCACCACGCAGTTCGGTCCCTTCCTCTTGGCAGTCACCCTGCCCGGGGTGCGAGTGGTCAACGGGGTGCGAGTGGTCAACGGAAGCACAAAATGGAGCGCGGGTTTCCCCACATGCCCGCCCCCTCCCCTCGTCCTGACCAGGAGCCTGCTACTGACTTTACGGCCACTACCCAGCTGACCCAGCCGCGAGCGCATGCTGGGAAATTCCTACGCCACACACACACACACACACACACACACACACACACACACACACACCCACACACCCACACACACACACACACACCCACACACCCACCCACCCACGACGGGAACACACACACACACCCCCACCCACCCACCCACGACGGGAAGCGACTGGAGCAGCAGTCTGCTCCCAGCCACTACAGACGTCAGACCGGAAGCAGCAGCCGGCTCCCCGCCACGTGCAGGCCTCAGACCGGAAGTCCGCGTGCAGGAACCGGGACCAGGAGCCAGAGGGGTCCCAGCGCAGAAACTGCGGAGGCTTCATCCACCGGGCTCCCAGATGGCGGCCCAGCCCAGGTCCGGACACGAAGATATTGGAGACCTCGGCGTGGGCTTCGTGTTCCATGAGCTGCAGGAAGGCGACGGTCAGTGCCTGTCTGGGGACCCGGACCAGTGATTTGGTGAACTCTAGCAAAGGAACTTTCCTCGGGAGAGGAGCCTGGACTCGAGGCTGCTGTGCCGCCTCCCTCAGGCCGAGGGTCTAGGCCACTCTGTCCCCGGGCCCAACACCTCGATATCTCTCTCTCCTCTCCCCCCCCCCTCATCTCTCTCTCCCCCCTCCCCCTCCCCCTTCCCTCTCCCCCCTCCCCCTCCCCCTTCCCTCTCCCCTTTTCCTTCTCACCCCTCCCCCTCTCCACTTCCCCCTCCCGCCTCCCCGGGGTCCAGTGCCCTTATATCTCTCCTCTCTCTTCCCTGGTCTCTCCCCCTCCCCCTCCCTCTCCCTCTCCTCCTCCCCCTCCCTCTCCCTCTCCTCCTCCCCACTCCCCGCTACCCGCTCCCCCCTCCCCGTCCCTACTCCCCGCTCCCCCTCTCCCCCCTCCCCACTCCCCCCCCTCCCCTCTCCCCCCTTTCCCCTCTCTTTCCCCCTCTCCCGCCCTTCCCCCCTCTCCTCCCTCTCCCTTCTCTCCCTTCTCTCCCCTCTCTCCCCTCTCTCCTGTCTCTCTCCTGTCTCTCTTCCCTCTCTTTAGGGAGATCTCTCCCTTCCACCTTCCCTTTCCTGTTTTACAGATGTAAAGGCTATAGAGACCTCGGTGACTGAAGCGGGAGGAGACAATGAGAAGAAAATACGGTCTGAACCCGAGCAGGGTGCGGGAGCAGAAGAAGAAAGTCACGTCTGCCCTGGAGAGGCTGACCCCATGTTCACCAAGAACCAGAAGGCCGGCGGTGGCCACCAGGAGTCCTGGCAGCCGCAGCCTGAGGAGTCGGCCCAGGACTCCTCCTCCTCTGAGCCAAAGACCCAAGATCAGCAGCATCCCTTTGTCCCCGTTGGATTCAGCAGATTGCAGCTGAAGGAGCTAGAAAGCATTTTCCAGCGCTCTCAATATCCCGACGTGTTTGCTAGGTAAGCGGCTTGCTCTGGAGCTGCCCAGTTCTCCAGGGCTCTTCCTGGGACGCCTTTGGCTCTGCCCCAGTCTCCTTCCCTCCCCTCCATAGTCAAAAGCTACATGTGGAGCCCAGGGCCTCTGGAGTAGGCCTGCTCTTGAGCTGTGGGCTGGATGCGATGCCTACTGGGCATTAAGGCATTTTTCCCACAATATAGAAACAAATCAAGCCAGGAAACTTTGTCCAGACTCCTGTTTTGGAAATGTTTTATTGGAATCGCGATTGACATCAGGGTGAGGAGAGTGAGTCGTGCAGGGTTGGATCTTGCCTTTATTGAACATTTTAACAATTTGGTTACTGTGGATTTTGGTTTTCATTGGTCTTGGTTTTTTAAATAACGCCTTAACAATTAGTAATCTTTGGGCTCTTTCAGTGGCTCACGCCTGTAATCTCAACACTCTGGGAGGCTGAGGAGGGAGGATCACTTGAGTCTAGGCGTTCCAGGCCAGACTGAGCAATATAATGACACTCCATCTCTACATAAAAATTAAAACAATTAGACCGGCATGGTGGCATACACCTGTAGTCACAGCTACTCCAAAGGATCGCTTCAGCCCAGGTGTTCATGGGTTCAGTGAACCGTGATTGCATCATCCCCATCCAGCCTGGACGACAGAGCTAGACCCTATCTCTAAAATTAAATAGATAGATAGACAGTTAGACAGAAATACCTTGACTCGTGAGTGTCTTAGTGCTCTTAAATTCTGCACACCAAGGACAGCCATCCCTAAGGCAATCCTGGGGCTAGGCATCACAGGAACATATGCTGGACAGATTGGGAGGATAGACATTCTCAAACAGGCATGAAATGTTCATCAGTGTATTTCATTTCATTTGCAATTCTGAAAAGTTTAAATACTGAACTTTTGTGGTTTTCTTCCCCAGAAAGCAGCTGGCAATATGCATGGATGTAAGTGAAGCCAAAGTGGAAGCCAGTAAGCCTGATGAAAGCAATTGATCAGAGTAGCCACTCTGACACCTGCTTCAGTCCTTGGATACCTTTGTCCTACACATTCTCCAGTTGGCCTGTTTTTGTTGCCTTTTCTATGTTTGCAAAGTGAGTTCTGAGCTTTAGAGGGTGAAAAATGGGATAGGGAAACCCCAGCTTATGGAAATTTTCCATTACCAGAGGGAATGTGCTTTCTAATGGAAAAATAAAACATACCATACTGCTACTTCTATTTCCTGTACAAAATTGAGTATAAATAAAGTTCACTGCTTTCTAACGACGTTATCCTTTAGTGAATACTTCTGTGCGGAGGTATGTTTGGACAGACTGACTTAGAAGTATGCAGCCGGGCGCGGTGGCTCAAGCCTGTAATCCCAGCACTTTGGGAGGCCGAGGCGGGTGGATCACGAGGTCAAGAGATCGAGACCATCCTGGTCAACATGGTGAAACCGCGTCTCTACTAAAAATACAAAAAATTAGCTGGGCATGGTGGTGCGTGCCTGTAATCCCACCTACTCAGGAGGCTGAGGCAGGAGAGTTGCCTGAACCCAGGAGGCGGAGGTTGTGGTGAGCCGAGGTCGCGCCATTGCACTCCAGCCTGGGTAACATGAGTGAAACCCCGTCTCAAAAAAAAAAAAAAAAAAAAAAAAAGAAGTATGCAAATTAATTCACCAAGAAACTAGGATGTGAGAAGTTTCAGCTATATTTAAAATATTTAAGCCAGTCTATGTTCTTAGCTCAATGAGTGAATGTGTAAATATGCAGGCACTGGAGTAAGGGAATAAGTCACACATGCAGCAAACACGCTATATGAGTAATCAACGTATGTTTAGATTCACTGAGACTGATGGGAAGGAGAGAGCTTAAAAGTCCAAGTGCCTGGTGGTCCTGCTGTGGTTTTTAAGTGTCTGATGAAACTGTGTGGAAAGTGGCAGCCCTAAATTTTAATTTTCTGGAATACTTTGATATATCTGCCTAAAAACGCTGCCAAATATGCTCACATTACTATGGGGGTTGGGGGAGACAGGTTTGCAAACTGGAAATTTGTCTAAAAATTGGAACAAACAAGAACGACTTTGAATAAGGTTCCACTCACCTAAGAAGGGTGAAAAGGTTAAAGAAGAATTGCATGCACTTAAATATATACCTTGAAAAAAATGGCACAAATGGAACTTTATGAGTTAATATTCTCTTTAGGAATCTCTAACAACTAAAGAATTATTTTGGTGGGACTGTCTAGGTGGGTTTTATGAAATTTGTTTGTTTTGATCAAAAGATTAATAAGATTACTTGAGTTTTATTAAGAGCAAATTTTCCAAAACAAAAGGAAAATCCAAGATGAGGTTATGAGCCTCACTTTGCAGTTTGTGTGAGTGCGGTGATGGAAAGGAGCTGCAGAACTGGTGCAGGTGACTCTTTTGTCCCAGCTAGACAAGCCACAAACTCTCCGGGTTCCGCATAACCAAGCCCTTTTTTTCAGACCATCTTGTTAACTCTCCAGAATTTTCAGGCCAGGAGAGGTGGCCCATGCCTGTAATCCTAGCACTTTGGGAGGCCTAGGCAGGTGGATCACCTGAGGTCAGGAGTTCGAGACCAGCCTGATCAACATGGTGAAACCCTGTCTCTGCTAAAAAATACAAAAAATGAGCCAGATGTGGTGTTGCGTGCCTGTAATCCCAGCTACCCAGGAGGCTGAGGAATGAGAATTCCTGGAACTGGGGAGGCAGAGGCTGCAGTGAGCCGAGATGGCACCACTGTACTCCAGCCTGGGCAACAAAGCAAGACTCTTGTCTCGGAAAAAAAAAAAAAAAAAAAGAGCGAGGGAGAGAGAAAGAGGACAAATGGCCCCTTAGACATCCTTGAGGAAACCTGATTAAAAATCCAACCTGCTCCTACTGATTTTGTCACTTCAGACTGAAGATGAAGTTTTCAAATGGGAGGGGGCATTCCCCTAGTATAACTTTAAATGGAGCCCACCTTATTCCTTGTTCAACTATCCCCACAACCAGGATGACGCTATACTTAATGAAGAGGGTTCAGAGGCAGCTGGACACCACAGTGGTCCACTGTCAGGATACTGACATTTCTTCATCTTGTTATGGAGTGTAGCATTAACAGCCGGTACTGAGTGTGATATGTCCACTGAACTCACATGCAGGAGCTGTCAAAGCACCTTAAAGAATATTCAAAATGGGAGTACAGAGACAAAGCAATAAGTATAGTCCAAAACAGAACTGAAAGGAAGGAAGAGAAGGGGGTACAACATTAACTTTCCTAAAATATTTTTCCGATAAGGAAATAGCTTCTCCCAGTGGAGTTTAAAATATCAATGGCATAGAGTTACATCTTGTGGGGTTTTTTCTTGTGATATTAATTGTTTGATACACTAAACTTATCCCTTTATTGCAGGGCTAAGGGCCCCACAGGGTCATGGGGTGTCCCTTATGCTGTGCTGAGGCACAGGATCTGAGAAATAAAGAGACAGGACACAGAAATACAAAGAAAGTGAAGCTGGGCTGAGGGGGGCCACGCCACCTATAAACGGAGACAGGCGAGGGCCCAAATGTCCAGAAGAGTCTATATTTATTGAGTATAGGTTAGGGGGCAGGGTAGTGAGTGAAGTCATCTTTAAGGATAGTGATAGGGTCGTGAGCAATAAACAAGGGATCCACCCCCATTAGGTCACCTAGGCTAGGAGGTAGACAGTGTGCAGCAAGGTGTCCACCCCCATTAAGTCATCGAGGCAAGGAGGTGGGCTGTGCGCAGTGAAGAGGGTGCAGTGTGCAGTATCTCTTATCTATGGGCATGCTACTTCTAAGACTATATATAGGAGGATGCTTTAAGTCACCCAGCAGTGACAGAGCTGTCAGGGTCTACCACCACTTGCTGGCAGCTTCCAGTGAGATCTATAGGAGGATGCTTTTCCAGCAGCACAGTAACAAGAGCTGACAAAGTTCACAGTCACCAAGGTGCGATTATTGTGAGCTCTCGGATGCTTGAAGGATTGCCGGTTTAATGGCAACCTTCCACAAGAACTGGAGCAATGTCCTACAACTCCTTTATCAGGAGGAGTGGCTCTTGCCCCAAGCCTGCCATACAGCAGGTATCTTTACGATACTGAACGCTGCCGCCTGGGCCATGGATTCTTGTCCTGGTATAACTGTTTTTCCCTTAAATCATGCTGTGCACCGTGTCTGCTCCAGACATTCCTCCGACTATAAGCTGCTTATTCCTTAATTCATGCTCTGTACTGTGTCTGCTCTAGGCATTCCTCCGACTTTGAAGTAAGATACATTATTATATATATTTAGGGAAATAACTAAGTAGTAAGATATTCTTTAGGCATTCATTCTATGAAGTAATATAGGATTATATATAAAGGATTATATAACAGGAAATAAGTGAGTAGTAACACTATAAACTGAGATATTCTTCAGGCACTAATTGTGCCAGGATTCTGCTTAGCTCTCCTTCCTCGGTGCCTATATTGGGGGTTACCCACATTTATAAAACCTCTGATTGAAAGCTTGCTTTAAAAATAGGAGGGTCAAATAGAGGAGATGTTGGGGGCATTAATTAATGTTCAAAAGTTACACGACGGTGGCCTTGAACCCCTGGGCCAATGGGTATGTCTAATAGGGGATGGGCCTTATCATGTCATGCTTGATCCAGAGCCCTATTGGAGATGGGCTCATCTGGAGCCACCACTGCCCAGGCTGCCTACACCACCCATGCCTCCTCTGCTGTAGCCTTCCTTTGGCCTGGCCCCAGTTGGCCTGGAATGATCCCCTGTCATCAGCTGTCATTTTGTAGTCCCCTTCTCTAAGGTACGGTCTTCATGACAGTTTCCAAACTGTTTTTCTGGCAGATTCTAATTGTGAAGAGCACAATGTCAAGAGCAGTTCACCAAATGCCTGCTAAATAAATTGAATACACAAAGTCAGTGCCCCATTTGTGTGTGTGTGTGTGTGTGTGTGTGTGTGTGAGAGAGAGAGAGAGAGAGTGTGTGTGTGTGTGTCAAATGGGGTTAATAATGCATGGATGCGTATTTCTAAGGGAATGACATTGAAACAGAATGGTGAGGAGGCCTCTTTTCATGAGGTGACCTCCCTGAGTCAGCATGAACGGACCCTGCACTTCAGAGAAGTCCTCCAGGTACTCGTGATGTGTTTACTGATCCACACGTTTTCTCCTCTGCTCTCCATCACTCCATCCTCACTCTTACCCTTTGGGACCACACACATATGAAAGATGAGGTGGGTGAGTCCCTAGTGAGAGAACTGTGTTTTCAGACAGAGTAGAGCTCCATCTGTTCTAATAGGAACATTCAGGCCCAACTTTGGACTCTAGGGGAAGCTTCCTAAGCGGCTACTCAATATTTATGGGAAGGTGGCAGGTACACATTCATCCAACGTGCTCCAAATTCTGTCCACCACCCTCACTTTCTGTGGGGGACACAAAGGAATAGGAGCCATTGTGGCCCAAAGGTCCTGCTGCTTCAGAAGAGTCATGAGAGGAGACTCCACCAAAGCCAGAATGAGGCTGTTCTCCCTTTCTCCCCCATCCCCAGCCCAGAAGGCATATTATTGCACCTTTCCCAACTCAAAACGGACAAACACACAGTCCAGTGTATTTTGCTGCTCTCTTCATCCTTAAGAGATCCCCAAATTCCTACTAATTAAAAATGGAAAGTAAATATTTGAGGTCACTGGCACTCGAAGCAAGGAGATGGTCCCCTGAGCAGTGATCCAGACTCATGATTCACTGGAAAAGGCAGCCATTTGTTCATGCTGTCTTCTTCCTGTGCAACTGCCAGAGAGAAAACATGGGAGGGTGAAGGAGGCCAGGCCCATTTTAAAAAAAGCATTAAATTCTTCTCAATACAGCCTTTGTTTTTGAGCAATCTCTAGCAATGCAATGCTTCTCGTTTGCTATTAAAAGTGCTTAATTGGGAGCCCCAAGGTTACACTATGAAGTGATTGCTAAGATAAGTGCCATGATTCCATCAGAATTTCCTCTCGCAGGGGTTAAATCAAAGTCCAGTTTCATAGACCTTATCCGTTCCCAATGTAAAGCAAGGCTCTGTTTTCTTAGGAAAGCATGTGTTTTTCACTGTATTGTCCACTATTTCACTCTGTGACCTACAGAGTTGCGGATATGAAACGTCAGCAAGGCAGTTGCATGTAATTTGGGACTTCCATACAGAGAGGAGGTTATTACTACCCAGAGGCCCCAGCACCTGGCGGGAGCGGGGAACATCTATGAATGCACCTGTGC